CCCAAAAAAATATAAAAGCAAGAAAAAAAAGAATAAGATCTGAAAATAAAAATGACTTTTCTGTAATAGCAATGAGGTCTTGCTATGTTGCCTAGGCTGATCCTGAACTCTTGGCCTCAAGAGATCTTCCCACCTTAGCCTTCCAAAGTTGTGAGCCACCACTCCTATCCATAAAAGTGATTTTTAAAAATGTTTAATTGATAGAAAGTTTGAAAGATAAAATAGAGAAATCTTACAGAGAGCTGAACAAAAAGATAAATTGATGGACATGAGGGGAGACTAGCTAAGAAAATTAGAGGTCAGTCAAAGGGGCCTAACATATTTAATAGAAAATCAGGAAAAGAGAAGAGAGAAAATTAACAGAAGGAAATCAGCAAAGAAATAATACAGGAAAACATCTCAGGACTGAAGAATAGGTTGAAAGGGCCAACTGAGTACCCAATAAGATTAGTGAAGGAGCTGGGCTCGGTGCCTCAGCCTATAATCTCAGCATTTCCGGAGGCCAAAGTGAGTGGATGACCTGAGCCCATGGGTTCGAGACCAACCTGGGCAATTTGGCGAGACCTTGTCTCTACAACATATTTTAAAAAAGAAAATTAGCCGGGTGTCTCTGTAACAATAACAACAAAAAATTTGTCAGGTGTGTTAGCCCACACCTATAGTTCCAGTTACTTGGAAAGTTGAGGCAGAAGGATCGTCAGAGCCCAGCTGGTTAATGCTGGAGTGGCCGTGAGCATGCCATTGCATTCCAACCTGGGTGACGGAGTGAGACTCCAACTCAAAAAAAAAAAAAGATTAATGAAGGAAAAAAAATTACATCATGATGAAATTTAAGACTACCCAAAAAAAAGTGAGAGAGCATTCTATAAGAATGACATTTGACTTGTCTACAGCAACACTGCAAGCTGTAAAACCAAGGAGTAGTGCTTTCAAAATTCTAAATAAAAATTATTCTCTATATCCAGCCATATTATCAATCAGGTGTACAGTAAGAATATTTTTTGACTACCAAAGCTTCAAAAAGACTTACCTGGTACATACTCCCCTTCAAGAAGTTACTGGAGAAAAATGTTCCATCCAAAAAGGAGTGAGAAAAGGGGAGGAGGACAAAGGATCCAGGAAAGAGAGACAAAGGGACTCCCCAAACCTAAAGGACAGCTAGTCCAGATGGGAGCAGAAGGGTCAATGGAATCATTATGGGAAAAAAAATTATACCATCAGATTGCTTTCATCTAGAGGAAAGTTTTATTTAGACGCTGCTAGTGGGTTAGGAAAGACTTACAATTAGACACTAAGGAATGAAGCACATTAGCAGAAGGGTAATTAATTCCAAGGAAAACAAAGTTTTGTGCTCAAGAATTTGTTCATAGTATAGTACTTGGCTTATCAGTGGTATTATGGGCAAAATCATGTGAGCACTGAATATCGACTTAACCGAAAGTGTGATACTGGAAAAATGGAAGCAAGAATGGGAGAGCACTTAATCCTCATCTGGCGCAATAGGAAATCTAGAATTGATTAATCAAGAACTAGTAGTAGTAGCATTTACTTTAGAAACAGCTGCCAGAGTTAAAAGTGCCCACCTTTGGGTGCTAAATTGGGGGCAAAAGATGGGGGCAGATAAGTGGAATGAACACAGAAATTTTCACTTAGGAACCTTTCAGGACTATTAGATTCATATCTCAACTATGTTTGTGTCCATCTCTTTATTGCTTTTTTTCTTTTGGAAGGTCAGGGAGTGAGATTTATTGGTGTGCCTGAGTAAGGACGAGGCGGGCTTTTTTTTTTTTTTTAAATTAAGGAAAATAAGTCTCTGAAGTCACATCGATTGATTTGTATTTGAATCTCAGAACACTGATTTGGTTTTGAATCTCAGAACAACTATTTTGCTACCTTGGTGGTCTTGGGAAAATTATTTTAAGTTTCTCCAGGTTCTGTTTCCTCGGTTGTAATATGAGGCCAGTACTTTATTAGCTGCTGCATTTTGGTAGGGTTCTTTAGAAACTGAAGTAAGATGATACAGATGCCGAGCCCATAGAAAGCCTTCAGTGGAAGCTCTCTGCTCATTCTAATTCCTTGGCACCCTGCATTCCTCTGACCTCTTGCTCTTCATCAGTCATTCGATCCCAGTGTGAATTTAAGTCCCACGGGGGTTTGCACGTTACACCTCAGCTCTAAAGTAGAGTGGAAGGCTTTATCCTTCTTAACGAAATGAGCAAGTGACCCTTGACCTAAAAACCGGTTCCTCTAAGGAGTGGTTTAGGTGATGAAGAAACAGTTGCCCTTATGGGAAAGGAAAATTCGAGTCATTATCTGCTTTCAGCCACTGGTGAGCAAAGGTTTAGGTGAGAACCAGACATGTTAGAAGACTCCAAGACCTCTCATTTGTGACCAAAATCATGTCCAGCCTAGGGCCTTAATCCCTGCTGCTGGTGTAATAAGATCCTTCAGTTGTATCATGAAAACTGAGCCTGTGGTATTGTGATTACAACCAGCCCGGCTACCTGCCACCACAGGTGACAGCTGCACCTGTGAGACTGACTAGCTTCCCACATACCCAGGATGCCTGTGGCCTCCTGTACCCTGAGCCCTGGCCTTGTGCTGATGTCCTGGACACTCATTTCCTGGTGGAGGATATTTAGTTTTCTGCCAGAATTATGCTAAATGCAAAGCTCAGATCCAGGCACTGGGGATGACATAGATCCATGTATACTGGGTCTCAAAGGAGTTTACCATCTGATGAGGGAGCTAGATATCCACCGCCCGATAGATAAGGAACTAAAATAAACAGGTGGGAGAAGGGCTGATTGTTGGCTGCATGTGGGATAAGTAATGTCTTAGGTTTACACATGGGAATGCTTATTTGGAGCTTCTCGTGCAGGCCTTGGGGCAGGTCAGCATCCAGTTCAGGTGATTATTTTTAAGCAAAATAAGAATTCTTCAAATACTTGTGATATTTTATTCTTGGAGTGGCAGCGAGGGGCAGCAGTGGGAGGGGGGTGCTCTCTGAAAACCCACCGTCCTTGCTAAGGAGAGTGGCATCTTGTGGGTAGGACGACCCTGCAACTCATTATCCAGACGGGCCCCTTGAGACTGAAAGGTGATGAAAGGTAACCAGGGCAGCAGGCAGCGTCAGGAGAAACCAGCTCTGCGGTCTCCTTACTCATAGGTGCGTGGTGATTATAACGGGGGATAGGCTCAGTAACCTGTGGACCAAGGAAGCCGCTTAAGGAAAAGATTCCTACTCAGCCATAACGTCAGCGATCATGCCGGTTCAGAAAGCTTCTCAGGTGACTCCCAAACACCTGGCTAAGAGCCACTACATGGGGCCCCTGGGCTCTCTGTATACATTTCCTCCGCAGAAAGACTGCTCGAAGGTTCCATTTTTACCCGTGATCAGTATCTGTCTACCTCTCTGGTTAGGACTCCTGAAAGAGCTTCACCACCTAAGTTTTGGCCAACAAGCAATTTAAAATGTAAATATATATTTACCTCTTCCCTGCTTCTTAGCTCTGCTAGCCTGGAAACAAATTCAGAGTTTGTTTTGGTGTGGTTTTTAACTGCCACATCGAAGTCCTCCCCTTGTAGAGAACAGTTCTTTTTACAGACAACTCTAATTTCAAAATCCATTCACAGAGTTAGGAAACAAGGTGGAAAATGCTAACTTAAACAACTGCTCTTTGAACAAAGAAATTAAGATTTGATATGAATAGAGAGTCCTCATGACCTAGCACTTTTGCCCCACTTCATTCTGTAATTCTATTAAAATCAAGGACTTAGAGTAACAAAATGTGCAAGGTGAAATTATACCTATTTATTTACCTGTCTCTCCCACCACGCAGTGATTTCCTGGAGGGTATAATTTGCCTTATTAATAGAAAATATTATTAAAACCTCCCTTGGTGTGGGTATATTTGCTTGGGCCTCATAAATGAGTATGGGTGTGCCTTTCCTTTGTGATTTTTATTTATAGCAAAGCATATTCCTCCCAGGCCACCTGAGGCAACTGGGAGCCAGCTTCTTCCTCCTAGTCCCTTCCCCATCCCTTTGGGAGAGTTTTGTTTTTTTGGTTCAGCCCTAAATGGTCTTGTAGCCTGGGCTTTACCTGTTAAATAGGGCAAGATCAAGATTCTTCTCTCCAGCTGCCCCAGGCCCTAACATTATTGCCCTTTAACGCCTCCTGGAATACCCACTCCCCCTTTCATTAGACTGTGTTTTCAGTTTTCTTCTTCACTATCAAGTAAAAATCGTTGCTACTCAGGGTCCTACAAGTAGTAGATTGTGTCTGTCCCTGACCTTTCCTTCTTTCTGGAAATTCACCAGCCCCATTAGGAAAACTATTAACACATGATCCTAACATTCAATTGGATATGGATTAAATGTTGGTGTCACCTCGTTCTATAGATTGTCTCATCTTGCCCCTTAAAAATCAAAATGAACCAAGTGCAGTGGTTTACGCATATAATCTCAACACTTTGGGAGGCGGAGGCCAGAGTATTGCCTGAGACCAACCTGGCAAACTTGGCAAGACCTTGTCTCTGCTTGGAGATAAGGTCTCTACAATAAGGCAAAAAATTACCTGTAGTTCTGGCTACTTGGAAGGCTGAGGCAGAAGGATCGCCTGAGCACAGCTGGTCAAGGCTGTGGTAGTGGTGAGCGTGTCACTGCACACCAGCCTGGGCAACAAGTGAGACTCTGACTCCAAAAAAAAATCAAAATGAGAAAAATCCAAGTCTTTTGGTTATTAAATCACAGTTTCAACTGTCAGACTACATTGCTTGTGCTAGAAGGAGAGGGGGAAATGTGTGTAAGCGGCAGGAAAGGCATACGCTAAGGTGAATTTGTAACCAACACAAATATGTAATAAAATAAAGGCAATTATTAATGTAATTCAATATGTAAAAATTATTAATTTAATTCAATATGTAAAAAATAAAGTCATTTGTTAATATATAAGTATAGGCTTCAGTGAGGTTTCTATTTGGTCTCCTTCTCTCTAGAAACCAAATGATCGTGATCATAAGGTGAGACTTGCACTGGGAAATGGTCTACGAGCGGATGTGTGGAGAGAATTCATCAAGAGATTTGGGGACATTCACATTTATGAATTCTATGCCGCCACTGAAGGCAATATTGGATTTTTTAATTATACGAGGAAAATTGGTGCTATAGGAAGGGTAAACTCCCTACAAAAAGTAAGTACATTGAAAAATGAAAGCATATATACCTGACTTTCAGAATACAGAGATTTCTTAAAAGCTACCTCATGACGATGTTGTTATCAGAGCTCAGGCAGAATCACCAAGAGATATTTTGCTCATTCCCTATGGAACGACCTCAAAGAGTTAGCACCTCCAGTTGAAAACATCTGTTTCCATTAAAAGCAAACTACTGTGCCTTTGCCGCCTGCAACTTATATGAAGTCTTCCAATACCATTTATACATGTGTGATAAAACACCTGAAGTTTACAAGTTCCATAAGCTTATCGTGCACTGTGAAACTTAGAATTTTTCTTTAATCGTACTGTGCATCACAATTACCTGGAGAGCTTTTTCTATGCACAGTGCAGGACCTTACCCCCTGGGCTTGGATTAGTTGTTCTGAGGTGGGGCCCAGGCATCTCAGTACTAGGATCTGGTGTACATGAGTGTTCACCTAATAATTCTACCAAAAAGTATAGTTCTTACTTCTAAGCCAATTCACATAGCAGTCTTCTTTCACTGGATAGTATGTTGTACTCAAGTAGTCAGTCTTCCAGATAACCAGCTATTCTGCAAAATTCCAAGAATGGTCATCAAATGCTGAACCCCTGTTGGCTTTGGCTTGAGAAGTCACTGCAGTCATTATGCCACTGGGCAGTTCATCCTGCAGGGCCATGAAACAGCCAAACTGGAACTCTCAAAAATGTGTTCCTGTTGACAGACTGGCGGAGAACAACAGTCTATGTGTATAAGAGTCCTGGTTCAGGAGGGCAAATCACAGACCCACAACCTAAGAGCTGTGATACCTTAAGCAAGTCACTTATGTTCCTTGGGCCTCAATTTCATCATCTATAAAACAGAAATAAAAAGGAGAAAATACTGAGCCTAGTGCCTAGACCATACTCAGTATTAATAAGGGAAAGGGACCGTTGAGAGGATTAAATAACTGATGAAGAGGACCTTAGAGGCTATAGCCCAATACCTGTTATCTAGTTGCTTGAATAATTGTCACCTGGAATGTTGAGTGTCATTCCGTTTCTTATAGTCTGGCCGGATCTCAGGGTATTCTCTGTGACAATGATGGCCAGACCTAGCTACACAGGTCACTCTGCTGTCCTCCAGACCTAGCTGTCCAAGCACCAGCTGCATGTGTCTATTTAAATTCAAATTAGGCTAAGACAGAAGGATTGCCTGAGCCCAGGAGGTCTAGTCTGCAGTGAGCTGTGATCCATCCAGCCACTGCTCTCCAACCTGGGTGACAGAGTGACAGAGTGAGACCCCAACTCAAAAACAACAACAGCTAATAAAATAGAACAGGAAAAATAAATAAATTCAAAATAGGTAAATAAAAGTTTAAATCCAGTTCCTCGGTGCTGAAGAACCACCTAGGGGTAGTGAGGACCATATCGTGCAGTGCAAACATAGAACCTTTCTGTCATTGTGGAAAATCCTGGGCAGCGTTGCTGCAGGCTGAGAATCTGTTTCCTATTCCCCGTTGGGCCCCTGCTGAGTGGGTCAGCTAGTGGTCTGTATACTAGTTTCTGCTTTCTCATTTATAATTGCCATGTTTTATTGTCAGTTTTTCTACTTTAAGCAAGACCACATTTAAAAAACATAGGAAGATATTCCTACAATTGTTACAGAGAAAAGCATTAGTTACCACCCAGAAATTTTTAACACTCTTGCAAATAAGTAAGATCTACATTTGTTGGCCACATTTGCCATTTGTTTTTCAGTTACTTTGCTAATACTAAAGCATATGATTGGTTGTTTCATCACATAGACTTGAATATAAATTAGAAATGGATACAGTAGGCTGGGTATGGTGGCTCACACCTGTAATGCCAGCACTTTGAAGGCCAAGACAGGAGGATCACTTGAGGCCAGGAGTTGGTGACCAGCCTAGGCAACATAGCATGACCTTGTCTCTACAGAAAAATTGTAAAATTAGATGAGTGTGGTGGTGTGCACCTGTAATCCCGGCTACTTGGGAGGATGAGGTTGGAGGATCGCAGGAGTTGGAGGTTACAGTAAGCTCTGATCGCACCACTACACTCCAACCTGGGCAACAGGGGTGAGACCCTATCATAAGAAAGAAAATGAAAAAAGAACTGGACACAATAATCATGCCTAATAATAACATGCAAGTACTCTCATATTTGCATTTTTTGACAATGGAAAAGATAATATACTTATTGCTCTTACTGAATTACTAAAATTTTAAATTCTTATGCCATTATATTATATACTAAATATTATGGACCTTTAATAATATTATAGGCATAGGGATGAAATAATTATGCCTTATGCCTTTGATTCTTAAATATATTGGAAAACATTTCCCTAGAAATCTGAAACATCTAACATTTAAATGAATATAAAGTTATACAAGATTTCTAAAACCCATTTGTGATACATCTACCAAAAGACATGTATTAGAATGTTCATACCAGCCCTGTTTATAATAGTCCAAAACTAAAAACAGTTCAAATACCCTTTTAAGAGGAGAAAAGATTAATTGTATATTTATACAAGGGAAAATTACATAACAATAAAAAATATGCCAGGTGCGGTGGCTTATGCCTATAATCTCAGCACTTTGGGAGGTCGAGGTAAGAGGTTTGCCTGAGTCCGCGGGTTCGAGACTAGCTTGGGCAACTTGGCGAGACCTCATCTCTACAATAAATCAAAAAATTAGCTGAGCATGGTGGCGCATGCCTGTAGTTCCAGCTACTTGAAAGGTTGAGGCGGAAAGATCAACTGAGCCCAGGAGGTCGAGGCTACAGTGGCCCTGAGCGTGCCACTGCACTCCAGCCTGGGCAACAGAGTGAGAGACTATAACTCAAAAAAACCAAAACAAACAAAAATAAATAAATAAACCACCAAGAGAAACACCAATGGGGGTGGATGACTAATACAGATATTATAAGTGAAAGAAGCAGAAGCATACATTTATTTCATGTATTGGAGATTTAAGATTAATCAGCAGTGATAAAACTCAGAACAGTAGCTAACTTCACCGAACGGCAGGAGGAAACTTTTTTTTTAAGAGATAGGGTCTCACTTTGTTGCCCAGGCTGGTCTTGAACTCTTGCGATCACCCTGTAATTTTTTTATTTTTTGTAGAGATAAGATCTCACTATGTTGCCAAGGTTGGTCTTAACTCCTGGCCTCAAGTGATCCTTCTACCTCAGCCTCCCACAGTGCTGGGATTAGCATGAGCCACCATGCCCTGCCACGAGAACTTATTCCGATGAAATAAAAATGTTTTAAATCTTGATCTAGGTGGTAGTTACATGAGTGTGTACAAATGCAAAATGTCATCAACATGTGTACTTAAATCATATGTACTTAATGTATGTTTTACCACAATAAAAAAGAAAAATTGTAAAAAAATTTGTACTCAAATGATATATTTTAATTTACTAGAAAGTCATATCTTATGAACTAATTAAATATGATGTGGAAAAAGATGAACCTGTCCGAGACGAAAATGGATATTGCATCAGTGTTCCCAAAGGTACAGTGGACCTGTGTTCAGTTAACCTGTGTCTTGTCTTATCCTGACCCAATGACTTTTAAGGGCTAACATATTATTACCACATGATAAAATGTATCAATGTGAGGAAAAAAAGGTTTATTTAATTCAGACATACAGAAATTCCAAAATGTGCTCTACTCCTATGTGTGACATAATTACAGTTTTAAAACTAGTTTAACAACTTATTTATGAGCTAAATGTTTTGTGGGAAGGAATATATAATCATGGTTGTAGGCTGGGCACAGTGGCTCACACCTGTAATCCCAGCACTTTAAGAAGCTAAGGAGGGAGGACTGCTTGAGCCCAGGAGTTCAAGATCAGCCCAGGCAACATAGCAAGACCTCATTTTTACAAAAAATTAGCCAACTGTGGTGGCAGACACCCGTAGTCACAACTACTCCGGAGGGTGAGGCAAAAGTATTGCCTGAGCCCAAGAGGTCAAGGTTACGACAAGTTGTGATCGTGACCACTACACTCCAGCCTAGGTGACAGAGTGAGACCCTGACTTAAAAAAAAAAAAGCAAAGCCGGGCTTGGTGGCTCAGCCTGTAATCCCACGCCTTTGAGAGGCTGAGTGGATTGCTTGAGCCCGCGGGTTCGAGACCCGCCTGGGCAGCAAGACCTCATCTCTACAATAAATCAAAAAATCATCCGGGCGTGTAGCACATGCCTGTAATTCTGGCTACTTGGAAGGCTGAGGCGGAAGGATCGCCGGAGCCCAGCAGTCGAGGCTGCGGTGCCCGG